CTGCAGTGTAACAAAGAGTATTATGTTCCGTATTGCTAGTGGGTGGGACTAAGTCCCTTGTACTGCGGCCACTTCTCGCCTATTGTACCAGCCCCAGATGATAGGTGAGGGTGATTGTTGAGCAATTGGTGGAATGAAGATTGGCAGGGGAAACCGAAGTACTGGGAGAAAACCTACCCCAGCGCCACTTTGTCCACCACAAATCCCACTTGACCAGACCCGGGCCGCCAGCGACTAACCGCTTGAGCTATGGCGCGGTCCTAACAAAGAGTAAGTCGCGTTCTTTACTTGGACCGTGAGATGTATGCCAGAAGGTAAGGAGGCAGTGGTTGGAGCTGCACTGGGCGCGGGAGGGCGACGCATTCTAAGGTCCTGCTACATAATAACCCATTGCACTCCTTACAATAATTTTCTCGACGACCAAAACCACTGTTGAGGAACGGACAGACGCAGAAACAAGGTCAGCATTCGTAGATCAACGCTCACACCAAACTTCGTCGCGTTTCTTTGAGATGTCAAATCATACAAAAACACGTACACGCATCAACATCAATTTTGTAGGATTCAGTCGTGAAGGCCTGTTCCCATGGATATCAAGGTCATGTTCTGGTCATCACTGCCTCGGTCGCAGCGGAGAGCCGATAGTTTCCAGTTTTCCTGGCATGTTTATGTCTCTCCAACTACGTTTGTAACTTTTAACTTTCTTCTGATGTCAAAATGTCTTTCATGACCCGATCTAGCAAATCCTGGAAGTGGTATATACATTATGCGTAGATTAACTGTGGCTCGTGAGCCGCATGCGGCCCTTCTGCACCGTTACTCTGACCCGCGCAAATCATGTCGCCTTTTTTAATGGGTTAAATACAAAACACCCTGATGCATGCAAGGCACACAACTAACACCTTCACCATCCAATCCACGCCTCAAGAAACGCCACAGTCTGGTGAAATTGAACTGGCGTCTCGGAGGAATCTTCAGGGAGGAAAAATAAGCCAGGGAAGAACCCACATGTAACAGGCAGCAAGGGCTCCCAAATTTCAGAAAATTATTGTATCCACCTGTGTGTCCTTAAGGTTTGGCCACACTTCATGTATTACCACTGAGATCCATACATTTTCATTGTACTTGATCTTGTTTTGCTGGGAATATCAGCAAAATCCAAGACATGAATAATTTAAAAGAAGGAATAAGGGATGGAAGCCCCTAAGCAGGTGACAAGAGACAGTTTACAGGGCATTTAGCAAGAAATGCAATGTCAGACATGTGCATGGTCACGAACGCTAAGTGTGGAAACTTACTGATTATGTTCAAAAATATTTGGGGTACACTTTAAAATAAAATATTAATTTCTTGAATATGTTTCTCATTTTCTAAGCACTTGGTTCTTGAAAGTGTCATGGACTGAACTAACTCAGCAAGGGGCAGGCTTTTCATCTAAAGAAAGACTGGTTCCAAGCATTACAAGTTAACCCCTGTGAAGTGTGTTCATCTAAATATTGTCACATCACTGGAGTGACTATACAAGTATACAGGTTCTGGATTGATGACTGAATTCACTGAACACTTACAGATCACAACTACCAATAAGTACGACAGTCTCACTGAGTTATACGCTTAAAACCGCAGCATACATAAATTGGTGTTTTTCCTAACTGTTGCTTGGTAGCAGCTTCCAATGGCAAACGTTCATTCCCCTCCTCTGGGTTCCCAAACTGTCTCCATGCCTCACCTACCAGCTTCCAACAGCAGAAGCTCACAAGGACTGAATTGCAACAGTCCTTTAACTCACTCACTCAGCAACCAACTCTTTCCACTCCACTGACTGACTCCCAAGCTAGAGGTCATCTCGCACCAACCTCCTCCTCTTCTGACTACAACTGCTGCCTAGCGGACTGTGCAGTTTGCAGGCAGCTGTACACAGATCCATTACTTAGCAACAGGTCTACATATCACAATATTCATGATTTTCATTCATACCTCACAGAAAACGGAAGGTCGCGGGTTCAAGTCCTGATGAGTTCATTGGATTTTTTTTTTCAACTGACCTAATCCTTCTGGCCACACTATGGCCCTGGGGTTGACTCAGCCTCCAACAGAAATGAGTACCAGGAATTAATTAAATAATTTTCCTGGGGAGTAAAGCACAGCCGGCACGTAAGACTGACAACCTTACCTCCATCTGCGAGCTGATTGTCTATAAAATGTGGGGACCCTCAATGTCTCACAACCCTATGGGCCTTCACGGCCTGGTACAGGGATAGCTTTACTTTTTTTTTTACCTCACAGAAAACACTGTCTCCAAAACAAAGACTAGAGAGTTAATGCTGTTTAGGGAAATAATGGTGGTTTCTTATGAGAATCACGTGACATACAAAAATACATTCCATGGCTATAATGCTGAGTTTCTGAATGTTAAAACAGGAGACACATATAGTTAGCACAGTGATTTAAATGATTAATATTACCATATTTCCTGCTAACACTCACTTTAGATCCTGACAACATTAAAAAGGCTAAGGAAAGATGTACAACTCGCAGCAGAAAAACAGAATTAAGTGTTTTTGTGATGGCTTAGATTTTAACAAAATCCATCAAAGTCATTAAAAATGTCAACAGTTTAACAATTTTGTCACATTCACCACTACATGCTTCAGTCACACGGACCATCATCAGGTGGTTGCCCGTTTCATATATGTAGTGGGTGAGTGAGACAGTAAATCTGATTAAACCATTATCATTCTTATTGGTTTCAATCAATTTCAATAGAATTGAATTTACTTTGTTATCATATTGATGGCCTAAGTACTTTCAAATGTATAATACAGTAGGATTCAAAAAGGAAATAAAAAACTGATACATCTGGAATGACAGAAAAATCCCAGTTAGGGTAGCAGATCTCAGGGCAAAGTTTTAATCTGAGTTCTCTGCAACACAAAACAGTTCTAACAACCTGTACACGACGTTTCACACACACACACATAGAGGCAGAGGAGTATATCAGAAACATGAATAAACATCTGCACTGAATGGCACACACAAATGTTTCTCTAAAGTTCAGCAAAGTAAAAGTATAGACATTTCTGACATACACACATCACGCCTGTCATTGGGGGTCTGACAGTGGTGACTGAAGATTGTAATGAGATGCGACAGTGTACAGTTTGGTAGATTGTCAGAAACGTTTTGAAGAAACTGACTAATTGGGGGTAAGTGGTGAGCCCTATGCTTCAGACCCCAGGGAACAATTTTATGGCATGCCAGGTGAGTGTCATAGATGTAGGGATCTCACCACCAGTAACTGAGCCCTGGGCACCCAGCCCGTGGCTATCCCAGCTCTAGCAAATGAAGCAGATAAATAAACCCAGACTACAAGTTCAAAACTAACCAGACTTTTTCAAATACTGTTACAAATTCATTTTCTTCATTACAAAGAATATGAAATGTTTCCACACTTCAGTTTCAGTGCTATCTTCATTTAATTTGCAAACTAATACAGAACATTTTATGTTTTTAGAAATATATACTGGTATGGCATATGATGCATGTCATCAACCATCAAGCTAATAACTTCAAACATTTGATGAGACAGAAGCCAGCTTCATAGCTCAATGAACGGCAGTTTCATGCTGATATGGTTAAAGACAGACCGCCAGAAATAAAATCTGCCACTTGAACAGTAAAATTCATCCAGCTTTCAAAAGAACTCAGTTCCTTCCATCTCCCAATGTCTTATGTTACAGTGCCCTGATCCTGTCAGTGCTATCAGCTGTCATCACATTCAGCACAAACATCAGGAGTGACTTCTTCATTCTCTGCTGCCAATATTTCCACTTTATGCGGGTCACCTAGCAACAAATCCTCTCCCTCCCTCTATCCACATTTTTCCAAAGCTCTTCCACCTTAATTTCCTCCCACACTCCTCCCTCCTTCCTTTTGTGTGACATCTCTCTGAAAATGTTGTTCCCATCTTTGTCTCAGCCTTCCTCATGGACGTTTGCTGTTTATTTCTATGGTCAAAAACCTTCTTTGCAAATCTCTCCACATTCATTCTTAAATGTGTCCATGCCATCACATTCTCTAGTTTACTGACTTCTGGCTCTGATATATGCTTCTGTATTTCTATCTCAGGCCATACGCTAAGCGCCGCCTGATACAAAAACTGAGCATGGAATGATGACAAACAGCTGCGGTGTGAGCAAGCCCGGTCATAAAAATGAAGATAAATATTTACACTTCCAATAAAATGTGTGATAGATTAAAAATAAGAAGGTAATTTAATTTGTAAACACTGCCTGCATAATTAGAAAACCAACTTCTTAACCAAATACTTCATCACTGTACATTACTACATAACATACACACTTTCTTGCAAACTGCTATATTCTTAATGTACATGATGCATCTCCCATGTCTCAGTCTCCATGGAAATCTACAACTCAGTATCTGGGATCTATTTGTCAGACTTGATGTGAAATATAAACCATGGAAAGTAACTGAAAATTTTTCCAGCTACATTTTACAGTGTGCAATCATCACATGACATGCCGGCAGTATGACATAAATGCAACAGTATAATGCATAGTGTGCTTGAGCACACAACATAATATTATGCTATGCTAGTTTCTACAAACAAAACCAAGGACACTTTCTAAAGGATGGTGTAGCTTTCACCACAGCATAAAACTGGACAAATATCCTCCAAACTGCAGTCTTTTAGATTATAACACTTATTGTACTATGGTGAGTGGGTACCAGTGTTTCAGAGGAACACAGTGCATCCATCTTCAGGGTAGGAGTACTGGTAATCATTTACCAGACCACAGAAAGAATTCATAAATTTGAGGACAATGCGACTCTTCACTGTTGTGAAAACCTCAAATCTTATAATAAGTAATATTTTAAACGTCTTTTGAAGACAGGATGTACATTTGCAGTCCTTTTCTATAACTGTGTTTGAGGGCAAGATCAGAGAAATACCAGAGTTTGCATTAAAGACGTGCTGAATTTACCACTGTACTCTATTTCTTCACACAACACATCCAAATTTTACACCACTGTTACTGTTTACTGCAGAGAGAATGGGATGCCATGGCTCTTGTACATAAAACAAAATAATGTAACAAACAGGCAAACTGTAACCAAGGCAATATATATCAATAAACAAAAATATTAACAGTTAATTTTTTTATAAATGTCGTTTTTCTGTTTTCATTTCAGACCCAGAGATGTACCCCCAAACTTTTAAAAATTATCCTATGAAAGAACACATCGATCTTGATAACTTTCCACACAAAATTACTTCAGTCTCTACATATTAGACTAATGTCACCTCCTTAATCTCTACCATCCAGGAATAGGGACTGGCAGCCATACTTTCATTTTGCAGAATGGTGGTACAAAAGAATGTAAAACTAGGCCATTGGGGCATCTTGCTCCAGTAATGTGATGCACAATTGGTGGAAGCTGAGGAGTTTCCTGTATTACGTATTTCTAATTTTCAAATAATATTCTTATGTGTATTCATCAGTTATGACGCATAACTTGAGTTTGCCTGTTGTAACATCTGCAGCCAACTGGAATGACATTCACAATGCTGTCACCATCACCCAACCTCTAAGACAGGTTCACTTATTTAACCGTGGAGAACATCATTGATGATGATGGTGACAAACCAAAAATGTTCACTAGCTCGGTAGCAGGACGTACACTTCTGTAAACATGAAGAATCAAAACAGAATGCAAATATCCCATAGCGGACCCTCCAACTTTTGAACACAAAATCTTGACACTCTTAGACATCACTCAGGAAAATGTGAGGACATGCCAACAGCCTGGCTTCTGGCACTCCAGTAAAAATGTACATTTCCAAAAAAGTATCAGCAATAAACCACAGATGTCAAAGTCACATGACTACAAAACAGAGAAACAGATGAAGTTTATCATGACAATGACACTGAATATTAATCATGGAACACTGGTCCTGAGATGAACAGAAGCTTAAAACAGTCACTGAACATGTTATGTTAAATGTAACTGAGGCAGAGGAACAGGGAGAGATGTCTTAAGAACAACATTGGAATACAAAGACTCTTCATGCCTGCAACAGGGTGGAGATGAAAGAAAATGCAAGGAGGAGACAGCAAGAGATGAACACTTTAAACAGTTGAACTCAGTGATCTTTGTAGTGTTAGGTGAAAGAAGCGTTACAAACTTCAAGTAAAATGCCTTCACGCAGAATACTCGTAAAATGGAAACAACATACTGAAAGAACAAAATTATAATATATCAATCCAGAGAAAGCAGCAAGTTGGGAAGATCTCTAAAAGGGCAGATGGCTGCTTTGTAACATCTGTAAGACAAACCAGTCATAATATTTAGAAAGGCAGACATGATAACAACAAGAGCAAATTACTTCTTTCCAATTCCTGCATTATTTATAATTACATAATATAAAATGACGAACTGGAAAGGATGGGGAAGGTAAGCAATATAAAGCTGTCACGACAGCTGCTTTCTGCAATGACCTCTTGAATATGAAGCAGAAGTGCTGACCATTATGACATGATGTTCAGAACATCAATGTTGCATCATCTGCAGAAGTTATATACAGGGGGGGGGGAAAGAAATTCACACACAAACTCTCCACAGTGACTTCTTGTTAAAATACACTAATAGAATATAGAACACAACATATGCTCTGCACCTTTTTTTCAAGATATATGTCACTGTCAAATGGCACAAGCTATCATATGATTAAACCACTGACACCTCATAGCTACAACAGGTGTTCAAAGTGGCATCCTAGCACTCTGTCAAACACTTCTTGACAGTAACTGATGTCACAGCCACCTGAAGTCTTGCAACATCTTTGAAAGTCTGAGATGGACTGCATGACCATGCTCCTTCAGATGTCCCCACCATAAAACACTGGCATCCAATCCACTTTCTTGGGTATGTCAGTCATGTTCTGCTACTGGTGGACACCTTCCCCATAGTGCACTGCAGTTCCGCCATGCTGAAACCACAAATTCTTCTGCCTCACAGCTGGAGGTACACCTTCAAGCAGCCCTGGTAGAACATTTTCCATATCTGCTGAGCAGTCAACCTGCCAGGTAGCAGACAGGGGCCCATGACAATACCCCCAATAATTCCAGACTGTACCAAACACTGACTGTGAAATGGAGCATATACACACATTTACGGATAGCATGAGGATTATCCTAAGAACAGCTCATCTACAGTGCGATGATGTGTGAATTTCGTTTCACCGTGTATAGTCAACAAGACTGGATGTATGATGGAAAGGAAGTGTGACGAGAGCACATTCAAAATCCACTACAAGCTCACAAGCCTGTTGCGGCTTCATCGTAGTCCCACCAGGCCTCTTCACCTTCAGACTTTCTCAGGTATCATGAAAGTGCCAAAGACAAGGTCCCCAGTTTACTTCACCCTGACAAGCTTACCCTTATTTGAACATGTTCCCATCCTACAGCATGAATGGCAGGGTCAGGCTTCAGGAGGGACAGAGAAGGGAGGGGAAACTGCAAGCCTGGCACATTATAGCTGCAAGATTTGAGGTATTCACAGCAGCAGAAACTGATACTGGGTTGTGATAGCATGTAGCCTGGGTAGGAGACTACCAGCACTCCAGAGGAACATACTGCCTATATTTTACAGGTAGAAAATACACTCGTTCAGTAATACCCTGAAGACGGAGACAGTGTTTCTTCATCTACATGGTGTCATAACTTGAAACATAATATGAATGACTCAGATGGCAGTCACTACTCTGTGACATTCAGCGGGAACTTCAAAAGAGACTGGGAAATTGTTTCAATTTAATGGGCTCTAAATAAGATACAGCACTGAGATTACACGTATATTGCAGCAATGCTGCACCTTCACAATCTGCTACTACAGAGTTTAACACACCATTTCTTCTTGTACTCACCCAATGCCCCAGTTACACAAAGGTGATCTTGGTACGAGCCTGATTGATGAGCCACACATTCAGCTCCTCATACTCCTCCAGACACTCCTCCACTTGGTCAGGTGTGTAGCCCTTGCTGGCGCAGCGCTCCAGCACGTCTGCCATCTTCACCGTCTTGCTCTCTCCTGCCAGCTCACGAATCACACTGTAGATCCTGTCCATCACATTCTGGGCTCTGCAGTCACAGAACACGTTGCAGTCAACTGCAGACAGAGCTCACATTTCCACCCAGTATCTGCCATTCTGACAGAATTTTCATGGTTTTCTTCAGTCCCTACAGAAAAATTGTAGGCCCCACAGCTTTTCTGATTATTTACTGCTCTTCCATCATTTGGTACTACACAGTCTGAGATACTGACAGTGTCATTAAGGAAACTTACTTTACTTACTTACTCATGGAGCTGAGCCCTTCTGGAGGAGCCGCCAATTTTGCAGCTACTCAAGAATTTCCCAGCATTTTGTGGAACCTGAAGGTTCATTACTGTGTTCACTAAAAACCCCACATTTTCAAGTAGGTATCAGTAGCCAGTACAATGACTGGCTATGGGTAGAAGAGCCTAAATCTTCTTGAGCTATCTGCGACAGCATAGCTGGCGTTTCACTGCTAGCAGCTGAAGGGATTTCTCCCTGATTATGGTGTGACTCATTTGACAGTACAGTTTAGTAACTGCCTACTGACATACTGACATGTGTCACTGCATGATGACGATGACGATGAAACCACGAGAATATTTTAGATACAGTCTAGACAACAAATATCACCATAAGCCAGCAACACTTACCTTCCATGCCGATCTTCTGCATGGTTGAGGGAATCTTTAGACATCTCTGTAAGGCGAATGGCTTCTTTCACATCTTCTTTTTCAACTTGTTCTGACAGGCGCAAGCGAGCCTGAAATGTTTGCAACAATACACTAGACATGTTGCTGAGGATAATGGGGACTATATGAGCTAAAGCTACTTTAAGAAGCATTACAGTTCCTCCATATCATTAATGCAGGACACCCCACACCAAACATAAATTTTATGTAGTAACTCTCAGTAACTCATGCTATGTACTACCAAATGCTGGGAGGAGTGAACACAGTGCAGGAAGCAGGTGTGGGTGGCACGTCTCTTGAGAGGGGCTGAGGAAACGCACAAAGAAATTCGATCGGGATAGCTAGTGTCTGGGGCGAAGATATGAACCAGGGACATTGAAAAACAAAGGAGAATTGCCACTCACTTGACTGTGATGTTCAGGTAGCAGAGAAATAGTTGCCAAGACTCAAACAGAGATGGAAGGATAAAATTAAAATATAAGGAAACAGATTTTGGTATCAGGGATTGACTGAGCTCAGGAATGGGTCTCGCTTTTCAGCTAGAAGTGCTGAACCAGAGGGCACCAGTTCAGCTACCTATGAACTGCCTGTGTTAATATTCAAAATTCTGCACTTTCCTCAGATTATATTTACAGACTTAACGTGATTCTTCCAACAGATGGTTTGCACTGTAATGGAAACAGGATGCTGCTGCTGTATGTGACGTAGGAACTGAATCCTTAATTATTTACGTTACAGTACTGCACTTTGCCAGTTATATAATGTTATAATGAACAGTATGGAATGGTCCACTGACCTTCACATAATTGCACACTGTACTTACTAAAGCTGTTGAGAGACGCAGGATGGCTAAAAGGTTCCTTGCTGATGTGAATGTCATATCTTTCCCATTTCGTGCTTCCTTGCGCATCTCCACATATGAATCTGGAATAAACAAAATGGTTTTCCTTTACTCATAAGTGTAATTGAAGACTCTCACTCACTTTCCAATCTCTCTGTCTGACACTTAAGAAATTTTCCAAGAGACTTGAATGAATGAATGTATGTATGTATGAGGGGTAGGCTTTCTCGGCCCTTGCACCCCAACCTACAGTGGTCTATTGTTTCAAGAGACTTACTGCAAAATGAAAAAAGTTCCTACCAAGGGAACAGAATGAACTCGCCAGAGAACAGAGAGAAGATGGTACACTTGCCCACAATATAGTCTGTGAGCTCCTCTGGAATGACCGGTTCTTGCTTCTTGCAGAGCGCAATGTAGCGGCGCATGACCCGCATGTCCAGGGCCTGCACAGTCGCTGGTGGCTGCTTACAGTGCTGGTGCACGTACGTGATGTGTTGGGCCAGTCGCAGGTCATTGTCTCGATCTGGCCTGTCCTGTATGAGCCACAACAGGTCGAAACGAGACAGGAGGGCTGCAGGAAGCTGAATGTTCTGCTCCACTGTGCGACGCGGGTTGTACCTTCCAAACGCTGGGTTTGCTGCCGCCAGAATGCTAACTCGTGCATTCAGACTAGTCATGATCCCTGCCTGCAACAAGACAGCACATGCCGCAATGCCAAGAATTTCGTAAAGCACCAAACTGGTTCCACAAAATTACAAACTGTAGCAGCATGTGACGCACACCAAACAAATACTCATCCAACTGAAAGAAGGATCAGCGTGTACAAACACTCCCTCCAGCCCACCTTCATTTCATCAAACCCAACACAGCAGTTTGGGAATTACCTGGTTTGAATCTCGACCAGGCTACCACCTCCTTACGCTGCGTGAATTTTCTTGAGGTTCTCCTGATCTTTCCATGTAAACACTGCCATTTTTGCAAACCCTTAAGAATCCTGGTAGGGTCAAGAATTTTCTCTTCTCCAAATTGTCCAGACCAGCTCTGGGGTCCACCCAACCTCCTATCAAATGGGTACCTGGGGCTCTTTCCACGGGGGTAGGAGGGGGTTAAAGTGGCAGGGGCGTGAAGCTGACTACCCACCTCCAGCTAGTGCCAAGGTCAAGAAAATGTGGATCTATACATCCACTCCCCCATACACCTTCATGGAGTAGTGCTTAATCCATTCAGCCCACGGACAACTTTATCTTTACTTTCACATCATGCATGACCACCTTCGTGACACTTAGCACTACACAAAGTTTGTTATCAAAACAGCATCATTAAAAAGATTACAAATTAATCACTTATCACACACTCACTTATGGAGCTGAGCCCTTCTTGAGAAGCTGCCAATTGTGCAGCTACTCAAGAACTTCCCAGCATTTTATGGAACCTGAAGGTTCATAACCGTATTTGCAAGAACACTCCAGCAGTCCCTATACTGAGCAAGATCAATCCAATCCAATCCATACCATCCCATCCTATCTCTCTGAGATCCATTTTAATATTGTCCACCCACCTTTGCCTTGGTCTTCACAGTGGTCTCCTTCCTTTACAAATTAATCAATAACTTTATCAGAGGGTATCATTTCAAAAGTCAGGGACTACCAAAAATTTCTGTATGAAGCTGTACTTGTGAACTATGAGGCAAACTTTCAAACTCTAATTAATTATCTCAAATCTGTAACACTTTCCAAATAGTGTATCGTGCATAAAACAAGTTTAATTTTTCTCAAAAACCTTCGTTTGAAACATGTTTTGCTGTAAGTTTGAACTGCCTAGTATCTTAATCCCAATGACAAAAATCTCACCTTGGCAATTGAGATTGTCTGCTGCTCCATCACCTCATGTATGGCGGTTCGATCAGAGTCAGCCATCTTGTCAAACTCGTCAATACAACAAATGCCTTGGTCAGCAAGTACAAGTGCTCCACCTTCTAGCATCATCTCACCAGTCAAGGGATCCTTCATGACAGCTGCAGTGAGACCGACTCCTGATGAACCTCTACCAGTTGTGTACTGGCTACGAGCTGCCAACCGATCGATGTATGACAGAAGCTGAGACTTGGCAACACCTGGGTCACCCATGAGACAGATGTTGATGTTGCCTGGAGCAAGAACAACAGGTAATTATGTATGATTTAACGTTTTTGGAGTGGTCACTATGAAGAATGCTGTCTTCTGGGATGTGGCGCTGTGTAGATCTTGTGTGAACCGACGTTTCGCCTTCATCTTCAAGGTAGAAAAATCCGTGAGCGAGTAACCAGTGCAAACAGGTGGCTGCAGAGTGAGTCTGACTCAGTCTGCAGCTACCTGTTCAATGTGGTTCCTCACTTGCGAATTTTTGCACCCTGAAGATGGAGGTGAAACGTTGGTTCACACAAGATCTACACAGCGCCACATCCCAGAAGACAGCATTCTTCAACATGCAGATTATATGAGAGGTGATGCACATAGAATACCCTGAAGGTAGATCTAATAATGTGCACATCTGCTGGGTAGCATGGTACAGAAACAAGAACCCTAGCAATGTTCGAGTAGGGTGCTGACTTGTTATTTTGGTTGCAGACATGCAGCCCTGTTTTATATGTACACTTGTTCGTCTCTGAGTACTGTGATTTACGCCCCCCTCCACCAAAACACTAAAAGGTCAGTAGGGTGTTCAGTGGCTAGTAAAGAGGCTAAAAATATGTGACATAAATTCATGAGAATATCTGACAAGCCCGTTATGGAACTGGAATAACAGATCATGATTTGGTAACAAAAACAACTTCATACTTTGACTCTCGTGGGAAAGTCTTTCCAACTTGGCTCAGATCCCAAACTTCCTCAATATGAGGTGCAATACCTGTACAAGTTTAATGACATTTGGAAGGGTAAGCCAAGCATACAGACAGAATGAATATCCACCATCTAATGTTTATATTAAAAATGCTGGATCATGACTGAGACTTGCTTGTTCCGACACACCCACTAGATTATGTTCTGCCTTTTTCCTAAAGATGGAATTGGCATGAGCTTCTTAGTTACAGAATGATGATGCTGGATAATGTTCAAGGTATTAAAACTAACTATGATACGCCTTCATCAAGAATATTCTGGAATGGAGAATATCCTAATTACATGGCCAGGGCATTTTACTCCCTTTTCAACTAAAACAAAAATAAAGAAATGTCATTAAATGATTCTGGGAAGTATGGAATATCAAAATATTACAAATACATACAGCATTTTTAAGAGCATACAGTACTCATTGGATTAGTTCCCAATGGCTTTCACTTAGCATGCGCACTTCGTAATGATGTAACACCCATCAGATAAAAAGCTGATACAGTGCTGCAACAGGTGATCACATAATTTTCTCACCTCGTATCTTCATTCCCTGAGGTCGACGGTCCACACCACCCACGAGCAGAAGCAGCAAAGCTTTCTTCACATCTTCATGTCCATAGATCTCAGGTGCAAGGGAGCTTGCCAGAAGGCCGTAGAAGTCTTCGTGAGTTAATTGCTGCACTTCTTCTGGTGTCAGGTCTGCGGCTGGAGCTTCATCAACTTCTGTCTTGTTCAGGTGCACCACACGCTATACAAATGCACAGAGCTATAGGAGACCATGACATAGGTATCTTTGGGGTACATGAAGAGCTGGACAGGACCCAGAGCCAGTATGGATGCAGTAGCACAGAGAAAATCCTTGTCAATATCAAAAATTGAACCTGTGTTGCTAAGTCTACAGCCAAGTGCTGCTGATGCTGCCACACTTTGTGAACTAAAGGCAGAAGAGCAGCTCTATGTCCAGTCCTTCTCTCACTACTATCGCACGTTCTGACATCCTCCTTAACTCTGTACAACCATCAATGAAATATGAAAGCGCTTTTGGGAAACAACTTTACATTTTAAACAGGGAGAAAACAGAAAGAAATCTATAAACAATGAAGAGATAAGAACAGATAAAACCATAGAACAGGGGACATGATAAAAAATAGGACAAAATTTAGGGACTGAAAGTTTTTATGACATTACATGTGCATCCATAAACGTCTCAGACAGTAGACCCTGGGCTATCTGTCGGAACCCGGTGCGCAACAGGGGAAGGAAGATGCCTGAAACTGAGACGTGGTCACCCGGTAGAGCTTGGCGAGTAGTCTCGCCACGACACAGTACAGTAAGACTGCGAGGGATGTTCCCGACAGGCACAGCATCACTCTGCAATACAGACATAAGCCAGTTCTCACCTTCATTTCTTTCTCTTATTTCATGTCCTGCTGCTTGTGCAACTTTCACATTTTAAAGCGCATATGTACCACCTGCTTTAACACTCAGAAGCTCTATATTTCCACCACAGCACAGTACAGTTATCATGTGTTTCATACAGTTCCCACAATAAACAGAGAATATTTTTCTAGACAACATTAACCAGCTGGTCTTTCAAATGGAGGCAAAGGGCGTTTACTATGAGCTAGAAACTGAGTGTTTATATTATGTGAGTTACATGCTTCAGAGGTGACCTGCATCTCTAAAACACATGCAATACCATGGTTCATCACCATCTTATTCATGTCAATATGCCGCTGCAGATGCCTTCACTGTGTTACTCTCAGCTATCACAGCTTTTCAGTTATGGTTTTCATGCACTTAGTAATTATTCAGTGCCTCAGAAAATAGTTTTAAAATTCATGTTCAGTAAGTTCCACACTGTCTAACTTGGGCCTCAAAATCTGTTCTGAGTGTCACGGCTGGTCTAACCATCTCCTTTCAACTTTAAATATTTGTAAACATCAAGATTAAAATCAGATCTGCAACAAGCATGAACAAATAGATGCACAATGAAGACAGCTCCACTAAGACAAAACATGCCTGAAAAACGGCAGGAGTTGAATGTCACCGTTCATCACAAACGTCTTTATCAATAAAATTAAACAGAAAGGTGGATCCTATTTCTCATGATACAGATTAGCTTCTCCCAAGATGAGTGGGGGCCACAGAAAACTGGGCCAATACATGTATTTTGTCATCTGGTACTGAAATTTACAGGGACAGAGAAGGACAAAACTTGCCAGCTGTCAGTACTGTGAGAAGAGAGGAACTCACATGCTCCTGAATTCGCAGCTCCTGGAACTTGATGAACTTGGAGCCACGGGTCTGCAGATAGAGGCGGCCGCCTGCCTTGTTGACTCTGCAGTCCTCACTTGGACACATAGCAAGAGGCATGAAGGTGAGTGAGTTCACCTGTTAAACATAACAAAAACTGTAGTCAGAAGGAAAATGAAATTTTGAGAGACAAGGGTGTAGATGGGGGACAATTAAAGACAGAGTGTGAGGGTGTGGGCAGGATTTCTCTAGCCGAGAACAGGGTCTGGTGGAGCCTTCTGTCAGTAAGAGGTAATGAACTACATATGGAATTTCACTAATAATATATTTACATAAATGAACGTACATGTGAAGTGAAATGCCCCGTCATCAGATCATCCACCTTGAAACTTAGATATAACATAAGCCATGTCAAAGCTCAGGCAGATTGGTCACCAGCTTCCCACCATGGCAGCCCAGCTTCTATAGCAGATTACGTCATTTGGGATTTGTGTTGGATAAAATGGCACCGGGGCAGGTTTTCTCCAAGCGCTTTGGTTTCCCCTGCCACTTTTCATTCCACCAAATGCTCTATACTCATCTGTGTTCCAGGGCCGGTACAATAGGGAAATTAGTGACTGACAGACCAAGTGGACTAGTCTCACCCCACTCCATGAAAAAGAAAACTGGATACAATCTGTACTGAAGTCACAAATATAAAGTTTCACATTATGACCTTAGCCAATCAAAAAATACACTAAACCCTGCGTAAATGTTTTCTCCTTTTCATGGTATCATCACAGACTTACACCTGCACATCTTACCGGCTGATAGGTTTCTGCACCACACTGGTCACAAGTGTATGTGGCGACCACCATCATTGGTTTCACTTCAGTACATCGTGTCACTATGCCCCGTACTGTCACCAACTTGCCAATGTGTTCTGCCTTCACATCTCGAACTGGAATTGGCTTGTTCAGGCTCAAGTCTTTGAAATATATTTCACTGCAATGACAACCATAGTGAGATGAAATGAGGTTGGAAAGACCATCTGTACTCCACAATGAAGTGCACAGGATTCCAAGTGATAGTCTTTGCTTACCTGCATCTAGTTTATAAATGATATTTTGGTAAAACAAGATTTATTAGATAAAACTAGCAAAATTCATGTTTCGATAGCAGGGGCGGCCCGTGTATAGGCACTGCGGAACTGCAGCACCCCCAATTTCCACTCGATATTATCGATAACATTTATATAATGAGTCCTTCTTTCTTTATACTTGTACAATACAATATATAATCCTTAAGCTTAATGTCAGTAGCCAAATCTTTGTATGGAACTGTGAGTTTCACAGTCCCAGCGGCGAGGTATTCGTTGACTGTGCGCATACACACATAGGAAGCTACGCGCGAGGCTGCAAGGGAGTGGGAGCACTGCAGGAACGACAGTGCCGGTGGAAGGTAGTTTTTTTTTTACTCCGTGTGTGTTGCACTTAAAAACTATGAGTTCATTGTAGAATTAGATTATTATCCTGCTTCCAGCTATTCTATTTGATTAATTTTTTTTTCGGTTCTTTTATTTAACAGAAAACTTTAACCATGGCCTTGCATCCCCGAGAAATAAGTTCTGTGACTGTAAGTGAACTTCAACAGCTTAAGTTTTCACAACTGTCTCTCCATGAGAAACATGCAGTTAAGAAAAGAGGTCGTTTAACACCTGATATTCTACTATCTCAGCCAGGCATAAGCAAGAACAAGAAATATATTCGTAGCTTTAATTCTGAATGGTACAAACGGAAAAGTTGGCTTTGCGGCTGTGAAGTAAAAAATGCACTGTTTTGCTTCCCGTGTTTGCTGTTTGGGGGTGATGTAACATGGACAAAAGATGGTTTTAGAAATATAAACAAAATGAAAGAAAAAACTGAAAAGCATGAGAAGTCAAAGAAGCACGTTGATAATGTAGTTTCACTGTCACTTTTAGGAACCGTAAGTATTAAGGAGAAACTTAGTGAGGCATACAGACTTTCAATGAGCATAATATAAAAGTTAAAAAGAATGGATTTCATTTTTAAATGAATAGATCTAGCTTGAACTGTAACAATTTAGGTTAAAGTAAGTAAAAAAGTTTGATTTTGTTCTTTTAGGATTTTATCAAGTTTCTGAATAAATTTTCTTTTTATGCATGTTTGGTTCCTTTTATACAATTTTAAAACAAAGGCTACAAATTTTCTGGAGCAGCACCCCCACTAATTTTAGCTACGAGCCGCCACTGTTCAATAGTGTAATACCGCACAATATAACTCAGAACAAACTCTCAGAGACAGTTCATAGGATTATGAGGGGCTGTAGTGTAGGCTCTCTAAGAACAGATAAAAATAAACCAATCAAGGTTATACAACCCCCCCCACATTTAATTTCATCAAAATGTGATTAATGGTTTACAAAGTACACAAAAAGGCATATTCATGACCTTAGGTAAAGTACGCTATACACTGGATCAATATGGCTGAAAACTGGAATTGTCCAACAACTTTTAGTGAAAGTTCTGACTGTCAAATTTTAAAGATGTCCAACACTTCAAGCACTGACACTAGGCCAGATGCCCCATATAAGGCAGTCTTTCTTTTGTCAGTAAAGCATAACTACAATATTGCAAATATTTAAACTGAGAAGGATGAGTTGCATGGAGAAAGCAACAAATACATGCCAAATTTTGAGAATAAATCACCAAACTGTATTTTATTATGTTTGGTTTATTTAATGACTGTTTTGTCAATGATCAGTGAAAAATGAAATGGAAAACATGTGAAAGGAAGCAGTAACAATGTTCCAGTTTGGTTCACTATCTAGGCATTTGCCTACACAGACTGAGGAATACTTCAGTCAGGATAACCAATCTCCTAGGCTGAGATTTGAATCTAGGACACCCTGAACAGAAGTCAGACATGTTATCACTTGCTTGGTAACCTCCTCTGGAGGTCAGATGAATATATGTTCCCCACAAAGCAATAGCAGTAGTAGAAGGACTCTGGACATTAACCCAAACTCACAAGCGTCTCATGAGCTCTGGTGGATACTTGTTACGTGGGTCCCTCTGTTCACCAGGCTGATGCAGGCGCTGCTCCATCAGCAGGCGATGTTCTATATACACATCAAGCGAGTCCTTTGCTGTCACCTAGCAGTGACATATAAAAACATTAATTCCTCATTTCTCTTCATATCTGTTTATATAAAATATTTCTTTCTTTGCCATCTCTTTCAAACTGACCAGCCTACTGATGCCTAGGACTATACATAGCATAATGCAGCCACTGCTTTTCAATGTTAGGCATCCATATGCATATAAAAATCCCCTCATAACCTAAAAGCCTTATCACAATATCATGTAACACCACAGAACTTATTAAAATGCTGATGGCAACAAAACTGAACTAACCTAATGACAAAATGGTATATTCCATACATCCAACTTCCAATGTAAATTTAATTTATGAATAGCTTCACTGTTTCGTGAACAAACTTGTCCATTTTTTCCAAGACCTGTAGCCATCTGAACATGTGTTGCATTCTGATTGGCTTTCAATTTCTGTATAATATTTGGCTTCTGTCTCCCATTTAATTGGAACTGACACCATATTTTGTTTAAATCACTTTACACCACAACACAAAATCACGTGTACACACGTCACCAACTTTGACAGGCAATGGATCAGATATTTTGCAATTGAAAGGGGTGAAACGGACGTTCACTAACACCCTTCACTTAGCAAAACATGGACAGCAAAACTGTGGAACCAAAAATGATTTTGAACATATTAAATGCAAAACACCTATATAAAAATCTGAGTAAAACTGGCTTCTAAAGGGAGCAAGATTTTTACACAGCACCTTTTATGAGCAAGAAATTTAACATTATCATTTTCGGAGCTTTGGCGACAGTTCAAAGAATCTTAACTTGTTACAAGAGAAATAAATGCCTATATCAGAGACACAAAGATAGACTGTATTTACTTAATTTAATGTAACTTTGAACCTGACACTTTTGACACCAGAATACCATTAGGGGTGCCTTATCTGTCAATACATTGGTAAAGTTGCTCAAGGATTTTCATTAACACGACTGCACATATATTCTAAAAACTCACACTATGCTTAGTGAAACATGTGAGGTAACAGCACTGGATTTCATTAAGGAATTTCAATGGTCTTGGAAAGTTCCAAATTCAAAAATTAATCTGTAAAAATGATATGTTTTTCTGCACACTGATTATAGTGCGGTGTGTGGTGTGTGTTGACTTAAAATGGTGAACTCTTCTGTATCAATAGAGATGGCATCATTTCTTTTTAAAAACTCAAACAAATTGAATTTAGTGCTCATACAGGAATACAGAAGGCTGCAAACTTTTAAATAGGAACACAATGAATTTAGAATTTAATACTTACTTGAAGTAATGTTATTGGGTTTGTTTTTTCATGTCACCTCTGTCCTGGTTGGGGTTGGGTCTGCTGACATCACGGGTACATATAATTTCACTTTATGGGTTCAAACTAGTGTTTTCAATTGCCAGGCCCCTCTGTACGTGCCATGCAGATGACCACACAGACAGTAACTATTCCGACACTTCTGTTCAACCTCAGACACCTTACACCTATCCACCAAACTACACAATGTCACATCCCAAAAAATAAGGGTATTTCAGGGGGAGGGCACGTCAAGATATTGTGACTCTTACCTCTCGTTGCTTGTAGTCTGGCAACATCTCATAGACAACTTCAGATGCAATGCTGACATATCGACGTGTGTTGTTCACAATTGCTTCTGCCAATCCACTATCAAATTCATATACATCATCGAGTTCAAAAATCAGGGCCACCTGGCAAATCAAACAGTACACAATAACGTCATGTCTGGGCTGCAAATATTTGAACCAGGCACCCCTATGCAAATAAATGATCTTCAATTACAGGAGAAAGAGTCAGATCACAGGAAACAATGTGTTGAAACACCTGGGGCAGAATGCAAAATGTAAGATTTTCAGAATGATCTTTCCAATACAAAATGGGAGAGAGAAAAGATTTTGAATGACCAGAAAGAAATTAACAGTTTGAAGTAAGAGTAGGCCACAGGCCTAATTCATGAAGTTCAGAAAAAGTTTTCTTTGGCAGTTGACAGATATTCAGCCAGGTATGGATGTTTCCTGTTATGGAACTCAAACCAACGTCACCATCAACAGAACAGCCTATACCCAGACACTACCCATAGTTTCAGTTGCTCATGTTGCATCTGTAGAGGGCATGTGGTAGCTTAGTTGGTCAAGACACTATGCTACAAGCCAGATGGTCATGGGTTCAAGTCCCAATGAGGTGGATTTTTTCAATTGACCTAATCCTTCCAGC